GTTAATTTTATTACAATATGTTGTGCTGTTGTTGCTGGATCACCATTTCACTGACATACTGTGACAATGTTAAATCTCTTTTTTAATTTCAGTTGACCACTGTGGAGAACACCCAAACGTTCCAAACAGTGATGTTGTACAAGTGAATCAAATGTCTTTGAAATACCAATGTAATGCCTTTTACACACGAGTCGGTTCAGACACCGTGACGTGTTACAGTGATGGCAGTTGGTCAGACCTTCCCATCTGCAAAGGTTTAAACAAGTCAATATCACAATTTTTCATTCTCAAAGTCTATCAAAGATGTTATACCACATAATTACATATATGTGTTTTTTTTGTATTACTTTTGTGCAGAGGCATTCTGTGTCGTGGATCATACTAGACATCGTTGGGACAACTTTCAACTATCTGGAGTTGAATATATCAAGGAAGGAGAGAAAAAGACATTTCCATGCACTTCTTCTAATTGGAGCAGGGTTTTTCAGTGCATTGAAGGAAGAATACATTATACAAGCTGTAAGTATATACGTAAGCTCTTCACATATTTATTTGCCACTAAACTTTTAGTTTCAACCTTTTTATTGTCAGTTACTATGTTTATGAATATGAACTAAAGTGATTTAGATATGAATCATTTTCAGTGTGATATTTTCAAGAAGAAGAAAAAGGAAAAGAATAAAAGGAAAAAAGAACACCAAGAACGGAAACCTGAGTATTTAGAAAATAAGCCTGGCATTACTCTATAGTTTTCTTATTGTCAACAAATCCCATGAAAAGAACCAAACATGTCCGACTGGACTGGCACTCTTGCAGCTTGCCCCTGAGGATAAGAACATTTCTTCTCATCGAAACAGCAAAAAGCCAAACTTTTCCAACTATATGTCTCCATATCCAGCACTCCAGCCAGCTTCTAATATCCCCATACTCCAGTTAGTTCACCCAGTGCTTTCTCATGTCATCACACCACCCACCAACAGCAGAGCTGCTCCAACCTTCTTCACTCAAATACCTTCTCCCTTTGTGTCTAATATGTCTCATCTCTTTTCTTTATTTAAACACATTCATAGCATCCTTTCCTCTTCACTTTTCAGCCACCACTAATACTGCTCCTTTGGCTCCTTCAGCCTCGTCTTCCTCCTCTGTAAAATTAAACGCTCTCCAAAACCACAGCACATTTTCCTTCCCTACATTGCCTTCCATCGTTGACCCTTTCCTAATGCAAACTCTGTGGCCAACAGCTATTTCCCTTTAGCCTCCGCCATGCCCCCAGTTTGCACCATTTCAGCCACTCGACCCTCTTCTGTTTGACCGTGTTAGATCCAGCTGCCCCACAACCCTACGACACACGGTTTGTGAACAGCAAAATATCTCAAACACTAATAAAAATGGGTATCTTGTCATGGAATTTGTCTACAGTAGGAATATATAGAATAACACCAGTCTTGTCTTATAAGAACAGCACAGATTTTCCTCAGTAGGTGCAGCTAAGCAGAAATGTAGTGAATCAGCCATCAGTAACAAATGTTTGTGTGAATTAAACTACCTACTGAAATATTCACTGCTGTGCTGCTGTTGGATTCTTTTAGGTTGTCATTATTATGTCATTCAATGGGTAAGTGTTATTCTTGGATTTACTTTTTTAAAGAATGTAATTACTGTTAAATTGTTTATTTATTGTTGGACAATACTTTATTTTAACTTTATCCAGCAATTTAATACCATGTTAATATTAATGAATTAGCTATTAACATTATTGCTTATTGTCTATGTTGTAACCAGGGAGACTGCCAGTAAAGCACAAGAGAAGAACAACTGCTGGGCTGACAACAAAAGCCAAGTTGGAAACTTTTGAAATACCTCCACCATAAAACAACTACGCCCAAAAACATTGTATTTGTTTTTAAAAATAATTTCTTTTAAATTTCATTTAGATGGAAAATACATAGAAAACATGTGGGAGCTGATTCTCAGTGCACTAATAACAACATGATCAGTACTTCTACATAAAGTTTATATGGCCTACAGTGGTCTGAATAAAATGTTGACTACAAATCTTAACAAAGATCTTTGTATTATTTTGTTTACCCATTGTTTAGAACAATCCTTCCACTAAACATGTATATATATGGGTGGCTGTGGCCCAGGAGGTAGAGCGAGTTGGCCATGAAGCGAAAGATCGGTTGTTTAATCCCCGGCTCCTCCAGGCTATGTGTCGAAGTGTCCCTGGGCAAGATACCGAACCCCTGGTGGCTGTTCCACCAATGTATGAATGTCAGTTTCTGTTTTATCACTTAGGTTCAGTGTGTGAATGGTGAATGAGATGTAGTGTAACAGCGCTTTGAGTGGTTGCACAGACTAGAAAGGTGCTATACAGAGCATTTTACGTATCAGTAAGCACTAGTTCTTCTCATATTGACATACTTTAGACAGCATCAATGCAAACTATGTGACACATTGATAAACTCACAAAGTCCAGTGCTTCATGGTGGCGTCATTATAACTTAATACAACTAACAAAATTTTCAACTGCCCAAAACTGTCTAGCATCTGAAGCTGCATGTGGGCCATGTGGCTGCCTAACAATGTTGGCATGTACTTTATGATGGTTCATTGACAGAATCATAACTGTATACTGACAGTTTTCTCTTCTCTTTTCTCTTCACATTTTGAAATAACTTGAAGAGTATATATACAAATGTAATATCTAGTTATAAAGATATTTTCCCCTATTTGATTACATATTAGATGTCTGTGAAGGTTCTCAGTCATCCAGGTCATAGTTATCCAAAGAAGGTTGAGGTCAAGGGCAACTGGACTTGGTAGAAGTCCAAGAAACTTCTTCAGTTCAGAACTGAAGAAATCTCTCGGATGAGGGAAGACTTTAACCATCTTTGATCACAAATTAGATGTTTTTACCCATTTCATCTTTATCATTTGCTTTCTCTAGAGAAAACGTACTAAGACTAATTACACAATTACACATGTCATTCTGAATAAAACTTTTACTTTGCATCAGAATACTGGCCTTTAAAATAGAAATGATACTTGACATCCTGCTCCTTTAACAGTAAAACATGTCAATTTTAAACTGATCAATGCTTTTTACCCCTGTGGTGCATTTCTTTGTATTATATTATATTTTAATAGTACTGTACATGTTCCTTTTATCACAGTGACGTCAGCATAGCATTTGTTCTGTATTTGATCAGTTTTTTTGGGTTGATTTACAAACTTGATTAGAAACTAAAATATTGGATTTGTCTCCGCTCTCATATGATGATCACTGTTTTCATAACAGTGGGAGCCATTTTTCATCCCTAAAACAAGAAAACAAGGACAACTCCAAACTTTATAATCTGGTGAAATTCTTTGCCTGCTCACAATGACAGTGTAAACATGCTGATGTTTACCATGTTACCCATCTTAGTTTAGCGTGTTAGCATGACGACAATTACTAATTAGCAAATCATGGGAATGTCATTAGTTTTACAGTTTGGTCACAAACCAATACAAATTTTGGCCTGAAAAGTTAAGAGATCATAAAGGGTTATTATGCGTCATCCTCTGAGACCATGGATATCTGTACCAAATTTCAATAGACTCACACCACTAGAAATGCTAGAAATGATACAAAGACACAATGACCAATTAATACTGTTATTTGACTGAATTTTAACCGCAAAATGTGTTTTTTAGAGGCATTATCTTATTCCATCTACGCACTTAACAGATTGCATTTATGACTGTTTCAGTTTAAAGGCAGCTCTCTTGAGACATTTTGACTGGTCATAGTCTAATAACATTAATAATCTGTTCTATTTAAGTGCCTAGTGAGCCATGACAGCATAAACCAGCAGCCATAATACCAGGACCATGAAACTGAAGCAGCTAAATTCTTTCCTACTAAACTTTACCTATTGTAAAATATGCGCCATTAAAAAGGCCTAGTTTTAGGACTGAATGAAACTATGCCAAGCACCTTAGGACCCAGCAGACGCACAATAGTTGTTTGAGCTGCAACTCAAAGACAAATTGCATGACCACAAACATGGGTGTCATTTACACTGGGAATGCTGGGGACATTTCCCCACCACATTTTGAAATGGCTGGTTTTGTCCCCGTCACTTTCTGAAAGCATTTGTAAAAAATGTATAATTAATAATAATGTTTTGAAAAATATGTAATTTAAATATAGAAGAAACAAATGTGCATTGTCCAAAATTGCAGCTGATTACAGCATTATATTCTGTTATATTTTTATATTTATGAATTGTCACCTGCCAGCGGAATGTTTTGTTTTGTTTCCCTTTGTATAAATAAAGACATTTCCACCGTAAATTGGAGCAGAAAATGTCTCCAGATGCAGGAAAACATGTGTGTGATGCTCCAATTTTCTGGGGGAGGACCCCCAGTTCCTCGGCTCATATTTCTATGCATTCCATATTTCCCTAAAATAGTGTTTATAATCTTCCTGTCTTGTTATCGTGCACTGTCACATCTTCTAACACCAGTCTGAGCCCTTCTGTCCCCACCACTTTTCAACACAAATGACGCCATTGACTGTGTTTTGGTCATGTCATAATACTGACCTCTGATCACAGCAGTCTGGACAATCAACTTGAAATCTGGACTGTAAACAGTCACATAGAGTTTTGTAGAAAACATTATCTGAGAAGTCAAATGCTTGACTATGCTGGGCTTTTCTTAAACAAATTAACAATATCCAACAAGTGTTTTGTAGAATGTTGATAACCCTCCTCTTAGATTTGTTCACAGTGTGTACTGCGGTGTGTACCAAAGTGGGAAAAATCCTGACAGCAAAAGAAATGACAGCTTAACATTAACGCATAACATTGGTCTGTGTACTTGGTTTACATATGTAAGGAACCTCGTTTGACCAAGATACATTTGCAAAAAATTGACTGATCTGACTAGAGCACACAAAGTCTCTTTGTACATTTGTGTGTTGGCTCAGCGCAATGTTTACTCTTTCTTAACTTCTTAGCACTTTGGGGAAATGCCCACAACAATTATTAACTGGTCTGGATCTGAACTAGGCTCTTCGCTCTGCTTTGTTTTGCTGATTCAATTCTTGACAAAATGTCCGTGAGATATCTCGGATTTCTTCTCCTGGTTTGGTTTACAGGGGTGCTACATGGTAAGAATATTAAATTAGTCTTAATTTGTTAATAGATGTTTGTATATATACTTTTGTTTATCATCGTATTTCAGCACAAAGTGCAGCACAGCCTTGTACGGCTCCCAGCCTGAGGTATGGTTATCTTGTCCCTGAACAACACACTTATTTTCATGAAACCACGCTCACATACTCCTGCGATTATGGACATAAACCAGCAGTGGAGGGATGGTGGGCGACAAGCACATGTAGAAATGGCACATGGTTTCATAAACCACAGTGCATAGGTAAGTGTTTCATAAATATCTCTACTTTGTTGTCTGAAGCTGCTTTGAAACCTTTAAATTCACGGTGGTCATGCAATTTTGTCGATGCCTGAGGAATAACTCTATCAATCACCAACACATAAAAGATAAAATGAAAATAGGAAGACAGATTTAATGAAAACAGAATAATCACAAGAACATTGCAGTAATTATATACCTCCATATATATATATATATACATTGTACATTGTAACTTCAATTATATGGCATTCAATTTCATATGTATGTATATATATATATATATGAAATTGAATGCCATATGTCTTGGAAATTATATTCCTGGTGAGGGGCTGAGCAAGTTACAACCAACCGTTGTCTTTGAAGAATTTATTTAACACAAGAGAATAAACAAAGAAGTACTAAAACACATACACAGCTGGGGGATGCATCATCATTTATACAGTCTAGGTTTCTATGTTTTGGGGAACAGAGATCCTCTCTCAGCCTTGAATGAACATTCCATGAGAGTAGAGGAACAACAAGAGAGGGAAACACCAAAACAATCTCACAGCTCTGACCTAAACCTTAGTAAATGTGGACAGACCAACATAAGGAGTATAAGAGAGGAAAGGTTAAGGATAAAAACACAATACATATCTATAACACTAATAGTAATAATAATGATAATATTAAAAGATCCTACATAAAAGATTAAATGTAAGGGGACACAATTTTCTGCCATAACACTATGTAATTGAAGTTACAATGTCGACAAATTTATGGAACATTCAAGTATATTCACTTTACTTTGAATTCTGAACCTTTGATACCCTATATTGTTAATGCCTCCAGATATTCAAATAAAACTGAAAAGGAAATATTCCCATTTTGTAACCTGTGAAGAGGGGTCGAGAGAAGTAGATTTCATTTCATGTTTAAAAAGTATCAATGTTATACATTCATAAAAGTTATTCTGAAAAGTCTGAAAATGTTGATTGTAGTGTCTTTTTCATCAGACGAAAAAGCCTGCCTTCCACCAACTGTCCCCAATGCAAAATACACTGAAAACCAAAAAGGTTGGTATGAGGACGGACATAAAATAAGGATAACATGTGAAAAAGGATATGAACACAAAAACAAGACTGCCACATCCAACTGCATGAATGGAACATGGAGCTCTGTGCCGGTCTGTGAGAGTAAGTCTGTCAGATGTGTTACTCCTGTGAACTGTGAAAAACAGGGACCAGAATAATATTAGTATCTAAATCTTAAACCCTTGTCACCAGCTACATCATCTTGATAAATACTACCCTTTCCAGTGCCTATTCATGATTTTTTTTTTCTTATTTTCAGAAAGTAGCCAGTCATGCCATGAGCCTCCTAAAATCCCCCATGCAGTCATCATTCTTCAGAGATACCAGGAGGTGTTTGCTGTAGATTCAGAAGTGCAGTATGAATGTGAAGATGGATATACTGTAGAGGGAGCAGACAGCAAAAAATCCATCCTTTGCATAGCTGGAAACTGGACTGAAGCCACACCGTGCAGTAAGTGGACAATGTGCTGAGATATGCAGTGATGAAAATACAATGAATCAATATTTAGATTATTATTTTGGTTAGCTGCTTATTTAACAATAAGCAACTAATCAAAATATTAAAAATATTTAAAGAATGTTGCAGCAACAGGTGCATTTCACTACAAATCTTACCTGGGAAAACTAATAAGTAATTTAATTTTCATTTATTTATTTATTTATTTCTATTCAACCGCACTCCTTTGGCAATGTTGTGAAAATGGAATCAGAGGACAACAAGACATTCTCGAGACAGTGTGCAAGCCATGCAGAGCAACAGGAAACAGCAAAACATTAGTACAATAATACAATTATACAACAATATGACAATACGACAATCATAATGTTGATCTTGATAAAATGTTAAATGATGCAGTTACAACTAAAACATGAGCCATGAAGCACAGTGTTGCAAGACAAAGCTATAGAAGATCATACCACATTAGTTAAAATGCCATGTAAAGCTAACCATTTGTAACAGGCAAAGGACATGGGACAAGTTAGCAGCAAGTTAGCCACTGCAACAACAATAACAAAATTAGCAATGTATATTTTGTAGATTACAAAGGTTTGCACATCTGACTTTTCAAAAGCCAGGCCTTGAGACTTCGTGTGAAGGTTTGGTAGGTGGCACAGTTTATAGTTTTGTTTCTAGAAGACAGGTTTACAACACTGATCAATCGTGTTATAAAAAGCTTAAAGGAATAGATCAAATGAGAGATTTGTGAAAGGTGTCACTCAGAGAACCCACAGAGAATCAGCCAGCTACAGTTTCTCTCAGTTCTACAAAGATTTATAGCAACTTTCCTCAGTGTTTTGTTTTTTATGACCCACTATTTTAAGATGCCCTGTAGAGTTTGTTTGTAAACAACATTTCTGTTTGTATTCAGTGTTACTCACCAAAATGCATTGTGTGTATCCTTGAGGTCTAACAAACTTCCACCTAAAACTTTAGCTTTAAGTTTGAAATCTGGATTGTTTACATCCATGTTTACTGGCGTTTAACAGTTTTCTTCTTTTTTGCCTTTGTTAGCACGTTGCTGCGTTTCTTGGTATAGTTGAATAAAGTGAAACCATGGTCAGGAATGAGTATCTTCAAATTAAAAAATAGTGGCAGTCACATACCTAATAATTTTTATTAAAATAATTAGTTGGTAAAACTCCACACGGCACCTTTAACTGTTTAGATTCACTCTCACCGTTATCAGCTTATTAACTGTATGGTGACAATGTCAGTGTTGTGTTTAGAGCTTGTTTATGATGCCTGTAAGTGGTAAAGACACATCAGTTAATAAAGGTTTATGTAATTAACAACAGAGAGATAACCAAAACATTTTGTCCAGAGACCAAGGAATGAGCTCCATTTAAAGAAAAAACCCTCTTTTTGTGATGCTTAAAAGGGAATATATTTTATTTTATTTTCATGTAATGGGTTTTCCCCCTCAGGACCAAGAACATTTACTGGACATGGTGATTCAGCAGTGGTGGGAACAGGTGGGGGACACACTGCATCTGCTGGTAGTGGGACACAACCTGCGGGTGGAGGTAAGTTATTGATCAGTATTAAATATAAATCTGTATCCATTTATCTAATCTCTCCAGAAAATATGTATATACTGTAATTAATTTATTTTTCCACTTCGGCGGAGGAATCAGACCCGGTACTGGACATGGTGTATCCACTGGGGGAAGAACAGGTGGGGGACATACTTCATCTGCTGGAATGGGGACACAACCTGCTGGTGAAGATAGTTTATTGATCTATTTTAAATATAAATTGCAATATCTATTTATTTAATGTCTCTATAGAAAATATATAAAATGTATTTTCCTTTATTTTCATTTAGGTGAAGAAACCATACCAGGTACTGGACTTTTTTTACATGTATGAGATATGAATGAAGAATGTGATGTGGGGATAGATTGGGTTTATTAGTGAGGCTGAGGAAATCAAAATGTGGAGTGAAATTTATAGGTGGTAAACTTTTCTATGACAGCTCAAAATATTTATTTCCATAAAACCTTTTTTATTTTTTATATTTCAGTCAGCAACTGTGGAACACCTCCCACAGTTCCTAATGGTGATGTTGTAAAAACTGGTCACATGTTTTTAACGTACCAGTGCGGTTCCTTTTACACACAAGTGGGTCCAGCGGCAGTGGTTTGTTACAGTGATGGCACATGGTCAGAAGTACCCACCTGCAGAGGTATAAACAAGTCAGTTTTAAAGGTCTATCAAAGAGGTGGGCTGGGAAAATAACAACACATTTTCTATTTTATTGTTTTGTGCAGCTACCTTCTGTTCTGTGGAAACAAATGAATATCCAGCCTTAGAACCTGCTGGAGTAAAATTTCTAAAAAATGGTGAGAGTGAGACATTCAAATGTAAGGATCTCTGGATGTTTAATAATTATTCTGTGGGCTGCTGTGCTGATGGAAGAATGACGTTTACCAGATGTAAGTATCACTATGAGCTCATTACATATAAATATGCCATTAAACAAATACAGCAGTTTTGTTGTTTTCCCTAATCATTGGCAGCTAAGATAAAGTGTGTGTGTATTCCAAACACCAGGAGACCGCTATACTTGTGAGGTCCAAAAGATTTGTTGGGACCAAAATGCTGGACTTGAGGGCTTTTTGAGGGTCAAGACTTGGTTTTAGTGTTAGAGTTAGAATTAGATTAAGGTTAGGTTAAGGGTTAAGGTTAGGATGTAGTTGTGATGGTTAAGGTCTGGGTAATGTTCTAGGGCAGGGGTCGGCAACCTTTAACACCGAAAGAGCAATTTGAACTCGGTTTCCACGGAAAAGAAAACACTGGGAGCCGCAAATACTTTTTGACATCTAAAATGAAAAAAACCCGCATTTATTTAAAAGAAACAACAACAACAACTTCCCTTTCATGCTGAATGAATTCTTGAAAAAATAATAACAATGTCTGAATGTCTCTTTCAAATAAATTAAAAAGCTGAACTTAAAATATCCATGTAGCAAACAAAAGCAAAAAATGCCGTGAGCCGTCATCCTTATAGTATCGCCTTTGGGCTTTCAGAGCATGTAGCTGAGCCTTGACCTGAATTTAAAAAATAAATAGAAAAAAAAAGCACTGTGTCACTAAAAAATGAAAAATAAATATTTGCAAAATATCTGCATAAATATTTATTTTACCTGGTTAATGGGACTTCTGCTCCTGAACCTCTGCGCACAGCGTCTGCAAATCGGGGCTGTACGAAGTCACTTTCATCTTTACGCAGGACCGTAAGCTGTCATCTGTGAGGCGTGAGCGGTGTTTGTTTTTAATGTAGTTCATGGTAGAGAATAGCTGCTCACATACATATGTGGATCCGAAGATGGACAGGACTCCAAAGGCGTATTTCTTCATGTTCATGTAGGTGTCGGGGATGGCATTCCATGTTTCAAACACGAGGTTTTTTTTAGTAATTTATTTTCTCAAGCCACTCGGAGCCGCAGTATAAGGATGAAAGAGCCGCATGCGGCTCCGGAGCCGCGGGTTGCCGACCCCTGTTCTAGGGAATGCATTGTCAATGATGGGTCCCCACAAAGATAGTAACGCAAGGCTGTGTGTGTGTGTGTGTGTGTCCCAGAGGATATCTGCAAAAACTGATTAGCACAATATTCGGTCATATATATTCATTCGGGGGGGGGGGGGGCAACTAGCTTGGCTCTGTCTAAAGGTAGCAAAATAAGCTTGTTGGCTGCTGAGATTTTTTTGTTTACTTTGCACCAAAGAAAAGAAAGACGAGGGGAAACATGTCCAGCTACAGTATTATATTATTTTTCATTATTATTATATTATATAGCTGATTCACTATAGGTTTCTGCACTATGATTTAAAAGTACTGGTCCTCTACAGATAATTCAATGAACAAAACAATACAATAAAACAGAAAGAAAACTGCAGACATTTAGTAAATCAGACTTCACCTCCCTATCAAAAGTCAATAATCTGCTTCATGTAATCACAGCTGTGCCTCTTTGATCGTTTTCAGGTTGTAACAAGTTTCAGATAAAGACGGTGAGTTTTACTCCTGATTATACTTTTTAAAGAAACACTGTATTTGATGTTTATTCCATCTTGAAATGTCTCACATGAAGCACTACTAGTATTTTATTTTTATTTACACATATAGGTGGATAGAAAAAGTCTACACACCCCTGTTAAAAAGCCAGGTTCTTATGATGTAAAATAATGAGACAAAGATAAACCATTTCAGAACTTTTTCCACCTTTAATGTGACCTATAATGTGTACAATTCAATAGAAAAACAAACTGAAACTGAAAAATAAAAACCTTACAATAACCTGGTTGCATAAGTGTGCATATACAGGTGCTGGTCAAAAAGTTGATTTATTTCAGTAATGCCATTAAAAAAGTGAAACTTGTATAATGTATACGTTCATTCCACACAGACTGATATATTTCAAGTGTTCATTCCTTTTAATTTTGATGATTATAACTGACAACTAATGAAAACCCCAAAATCAGTATCTCAGAAAATTAGAATATTGTGACACCTGGTGCCACACTCTAATCAGCTAATTAACTCAAAACTCTCAGTCTAGTTCTGTAGGCTACACAATCATGGGGACAACCCGGTCTCACTCCCAAGTCGTCACATATGGACGCTTGGTCAAGAGCCATAATTGTCAGTTTGTGACGCACTAGGGATCCCTTTGACGTCATAGTTCGACGTATTGAGGGAAGCCCTGTTGTGTCAGTTTTTGATGGTAAAGGCAAGTATGATATTTAAGAGAAAAGACGAAGTAAGAAGGTGATTGGGGTGGATAGAGGGCCAGAACCCAGACCTTGAAGCAGGAGAACAGGGTTTGTGTCCCGTGCGAAACAAAACATTAAATGTTTTTATTTAGGCGAGTGAGGTAAATTGACATTAACGTTAGTTAACTTAAGTCTTAATTGACATACATAGCTATTTTAACCCAAACCATGATCTTTTCCTAACCTTAACCAAGTAGTTTTGTTGCCTAAACCCAACCAAGTACTTTCTGTGCCTAACGAAACTGCAACGTTTCACGACTTTAATTATGCGCGTTTCAACATGGCAATGTATCGAAACGTTACGTTTTATCTTGAAAGTGTAACCGGATATTGCATATTTATTGTTGCTAAGCGTTGCTAACTTGACTGTGGATCCGTAAACGTCAATAAACGTCAATTTTAAAGACTTGGGCTACCCAAGTCTTTAAAAAGCAACGACAAAGGGCCTTGACCATGCGTCAGACATTTGACGAGTAGGGAGTGAGACTGTGTTGATGGGGAAGACCTGTCCTAAAGACGACCATTGACACCTTGCACAAGGAGGGCCAGACACAAAAGGTCATTGCTAAAGAGGCTGGCTGTTCACAGAGTGTCCAAGCACATTAATAGAGAGGCGAAGGGACAGAAAAGATGTGGTAGAAAAAAGTGTACAAGCAATAGGGATAACCGCACCCTGGAGAGGATTGTGAAACAAAACCCATTCAAAAATGTGGGGGAGATTCACAAAGAGTGGACTGCAGCTGGAGTCAGTGCTTTAAGAACCACCATGCACAGACGTATGCAAGACATGGGTTTCAGCTGTCGCATTCCTTGTGTCAAGCCACTCTTGAACAAGACACAGCGTCAGAAGCGTCTCGCCTGGGCTAAAGACAAAAAGGACTGGACTGCTGCTGAGTGGTCCAAAGTTATGTTCTCTGATGAAAGTAAATTTAGCATTTCCTTTGGAAATCAAGGTCCCAGAGTCTGGAGGAAGAGAGGAGAGGCACAGAATCCACATTGCCAGTGTAAAGTTTCCACAGTCAGTGATGGTTTGGGGTGCCATGTCATCTGCTGGTGTTGGTACACTGGTTTTTCTGAGGTCCAAGGTCAACGCAGCCGTCTACCAGGAAGTTTTACAGCACTTCATGCTTCCTGCTGCTGACCAACTTTATGGAGATGCAGATTTCATTTTCCAACAGTACTTGGCACCTGCACACAGTGCCAAAGCTACCAGTACCTGGTTTAAGGACCATGGTATCACTGTTCTTAATTGGCCAGCAAACTCGCCTGACCTTAACCCTATAGAAAATCTATGGGGTATTGTGAAGAGGAAGATGCGATACGCCAGACCCAACAATGCAGAAGAGCTGAAGGCCACTATCAGAGCAACCTGGGCTCTCATAACACCTGAGCAGTGCCACAGACTGATCGACTCCATGCCACGCCGCATTGCTGCAGTAATTCAGGCAAAAGGAGCCCCAACTAAGTACTGAGTGCTGTACATGTTCATACTTTTCAGTTGGCCAACATTTCTAAAAATCCTTTTTTTGTATTGGTCTTACGTAATATTCATATTTTCGGAGATACTGAATTTGGGTTTTTCATTAGTTGTCAGGTTTAATCATCACAATTAAATGAAATAAACATTTGAATGAATTAATATTTATTATAAGAAGTTACACTTTCCACTTTTTGAATTGAATTACTGAAATAAATCTACTTTTTGATGATATTGTAATTATATGACCAGCACGTGTGTGTGTGTGTGTGTGTATATATATATATATATATATATATATATATAAAAAATAAAATCCCCCTCTCACCCCATCCGGGGTGATATGTGTCATCCTCAAGCTTGGGTCCTGGGAGATTGTGGGTTCTGCGCAGTATCTTAGCTGTTCCTAGGATTGCACTCTTCTGGACAGTGCTCCGATTACCACTGGCACCACTGTTGCTCTTACTTTCCACATATTTTATTTATATATATATATATATATATATATATATATATATATATATATATATATATATATATATATATATATATATATATATATATATATATATATATATATATAAAAAACTTTGTTGTTCATTACATTTAACTGAAAGTGTTTCTTAAACCTCTGTCTTGTAACCAGAATACTTGCTAAGACTGGATCACCAATGGGAAGATACTGCTGCCTTTGGATATGCTCACCACCGACTGAAAACAAATGCCAGCCTGGAAACTTTTGAGAAACAAAATTATATTAACTATAATATACTGGCTATCACGCACTGTGATGGGTTTTTCAAAAACCATATTGATCTATGGATGGCTACATACTGTAGGAGCAAACTGTCTGGTCTGTATGCCCAAGGCTCCAAAACTATCTTGCTTGTAAGACTTACCTGATTAAAGTATTCAACTGGAATTTCAAGACTAACCTTGTGTCTGCTGAGTTCTTGTGTTGAAGTCATGCCCCAAAAGTAATCTGTCTATCCTTTATCCATACCTGCTTATCCTGACCCTGTATGCACTCCCAGGGGGAGTACCATCTGTACAGGCTGTCTGTCACAGCCTTAATAACTCAAAAAAAAAAATCTTTAAATTTTATTCATCATGACACAATGTTTTAAAAAGAGCATTGCCACCGTTTCAGATATTTAAATATCCATTAATTAATTCAAATGTCTGTGACTTCCATATAACTAAAATCCACCAGCAAAGCAACTCCAGGATTCAACGGTAACTTTTAACTGTTTTTCCACTCCTTCATTACTAAAAACAGATTATTTCTCTATGAAAAGGTTATTTAGTTGGGGTTTTTTTTAAAACACACTATGTGATTTAACAGCTGCATTTAAAATAAGGTTCTTGCACACATACATCAACTTCTAATGCGTCCTCATTGTGCTCATATGTACTTAGTTTAAAAAACAGTTGCAAACCCAAAACATTTTATACAGGCTGTACACAAATTACAATATGTTTAACTCACCAGTGATTCTTTGTATTATAAATTAACCTATGAGTATGTATGTATTTAGTTTGCCAATACATTTTTTATGTACACTGCTCAAAAAAAAATAAAGGGAACACTTAAACAACACAATGGACAGGGGTTGGACAATGAAACTGAGACGCCTCTCATTTTAGTGTGGGAGGTTTCATGGCTAAATTGGACCAGCCTGGTGGCCAATCTTCATTAATTGCACATTGAACCAATAAGAGCAGACTGTGAAGGTCCAATTAGCAGGGTAAGAGCACAGTTTTGCTCAAAATATTGCAATGCACACAACATTATGGGTGACATACCAGAGTTCAAAAGAGGACAAATTGTTGGTGCATGTCTTGCTGGCGCATCTGTGACCAAGACAGCAAGTCTTTGTGATGTATCAAGAGCCACGGTATCCAGGGTAATGTCAGCATACCACCAAGAAGGACGAACCACATCCAACAGGATTAACTGTGGACGCAAGAGGAAGCTGTCTGAAAGGGATGTTCGGGTGCTAACCCGGATTGTATCCAAAAAACATAAAACCACGGCTGCCCAAATCACGGCAGAATTAAATGTGCACCTCAACTCTCCTGTTTCCACCAAAACTGTCCGTCGGGAGCTCCACAGGGTCAATATACACGGCCGGGCTGCTATAGCCAAACCTTTGGTCCCTCGTGCCAATGCCAAACGTCGGTTTCAATGGTGCAAGGAGCGCAAATCTTGGGATGTGGACAATGTGAAACATGTATTGTTCTCTGATGAGTCCGCCTTTACTGTTTTCCCCACATCCGGGAGAGTTACGGTGTGGAGAAGCCCCAAAGAAGCGTACCACCCAGACTGTTGCATGCCCAGAGTGAAGCATGGGGGTGGATCAGTGATGGTTTGGGCTGCCATATCATGGCATTCCCTTGGCCCCATACTTGTGCTAGATGGGCGCGTCACTGCCAAGGACTACCGAACCATTCTGGAGGACCATGTGCATCCAATGGTTCAAACATTGTATCCTGAAGGAGGTGCCGTGTATCAGGATGACAATGCACCAATACACACAGCAAGACTGGTGAAAGATTGGTTTGATGAACATGAAAGTGAAGTTGAACATCTCCCATGGCCTGCACAGTCACCAGATCTAAATATTATTGAGCCACTTTGGGGTGTTTTGGAGGAGCGAGTCAGGAAACATTTTCCTCCACCAGCATCACGTCGTGACCTGGCCACTATCCTGCAAGAAGAATGGCTTAAAATCCCTCTGACCACTGTGCAGGACTTGTATATGTCATTCCCAAGACGAATTGACGCTGTATTGGCCGCAAAAGGAGGCCCTACACCATACTAATAAATTATTGTGGTCTAAAACCAGGTGTTTCAGTTTCATTGTCCAACCCCTGTAACTCCAAGTCAATCACACTCCTGTGAAATCAAACTGTCCACTTAGGAAGCAACACGGATTTACAATCCATTTCACATGCTGTTGTGCAAATTGAATAGACAACAGGTGGAAATTATAGGCAATTAGAAAGACACCCCCAATAAAGGAGTGGTTCTGCAGATGGTGACCACAGACCACTTTCTCAGTTCCTATGCTTCCTGGCTGATGTTTTGGTCACTTTTGAATGCTGGCTGTGCTTTCACTCTAGTGGTAGCATGAGACGGAGTCTACAACCCACACAAGTGGCTCAGGTAGTGCAGCTCATCCAGGATGGCACATCAATGCGAGCTGTGGCAAGAAGGTTTGCTGTGTCTGTCAGCGTAGTGTCCAGAGCACAGAGGCGCTACCAGGAGACAGGCCAGTACATCAGGAGACGTGGAGGAGGCCGTAGGAGGGCAACAACCCAGCAGCAGCACCGCTACCTCCGCCTTTGTGCCAGGAGCAACAGGAGGAGCACTGCCAGAGCCCTGCAAAATGACCTCCAGCAGGCCACAAATGTGCATGTGTCTGCTCAAACTCCATGAGGGTGGTATGAGGGTCCGACGTCCACAGGTGGGGGTTGTCCTTACAGCCCAACACCGTGCAGGACGTTTGGCATTTTCCAGAAAACACCAAGATTGGCAAATTCGCCATCCGCCACCTCATCAGGAGCATGCCCAGGCGTTGTAGGGAGGTCATACAGGCACGTGGAGGCCACACACACTACTGAGCCTCATTTTGACTTGTTTTAAGGACATTACATCAAAGTTGGGTTGGCCTGTAGTGTGGTTTTCCACTTTGATTTTGAGTGTGACTCCAAATCCAGACCTCCACGGGTTGATAAATTTGATTTCCATTGATAATTTTTGTGTGATTTTTGTTGTCAGCACATTCAACTATGTAAAGAAAGGAGTATTTAATGACATTATTTCATTCATTCAGATCTAGGATGTGTTATTGTAGTGTTCTCTTAAATTTTTTGAGCAGTGTAAAAAGTGTTTATCATAAGTTACGAGAATCAAAATTGAGACGCCAGTTAATACTGATATTTTTGCTTAAAAATACTTAATTACAGTGATTCATCAAATTATCAAAACTGTCAATGTCACTATCAATTACTTTTCTGCCATTTGACTGATCCCTTAAAAACTATTTGCTTTAGCTCTTAAAAATACATACAAATGGAACTTGAAACACGGCAGCCTTGGATTTAGTAACATTTAAAGTTTTTTTTGCAGTTGTGTAGTTTTTGTCTTTAATTGAATCACTTTACTTACGGGACAATAATCTTATTAAATGACTGTTTAGGTTTGTTGGACTGTGCTGTATAGGCCCAGTTTTTGGCTGGGGAGCATCAGTGCGTGTGATCAGCATTAGACATGTTCTGCACAGAGGAAGCTGAATCAAGCCCCAGCAGCGTGCCAAGGTAGGACTGCTCTCGGGGGTCCAGCATCTGATCGGGCCTCACAGGGTGGACAATGTTGGCGGGCTGGGGGTTGAGGGTGTACTTTTCTAAGAATGCCAGGTCTGCCGCAGCCTGGTAGCCAGAGTTTTGCTGCTGTCCTTGCATGCTCACAACACTCTGAGTTTGGGAGGAGAGAGACGAGGCCCTGTGCGTGTTCATGTCGCCCTGCAGCCCTCCTGTCATCTGGACAGGAACTAAAGTGACGGGTACGCAGACATTCGTAGGAGGAGAGGTACTCTGGAGGGTCGACTTAGGTTCAGCACGGTATGCCTTAGAGGGTTCCTCAAAGGGAATGGAGACTATTCTGTCCTCGCTGAGTGTGCCAAGGGGCTGCTCAGTAAAACGTGTGCTGTGCACGTGGTCAACATGGTACTTGAGCTTGTCTTTTCTTTTAAAGGTGGCGCTGCAGTGGGGGCAGTTAAAAGGGCGGGCATCGGAGTGAATCACCATGTGCTTTGTCAAGGTCTTCTTGATCCGAAATGTCTGGTTGCACTCAGGACACCTGTGGGGTTTCTCACCTGTGAACACAAGAGAACATCAGTGTGAAAAAAAAGTGTCTTTAGCCATTTCTATTGCTCTCTTGCTTTTAACAATAATAATTGACTGTTCTGATAAACCCCGGCCCAGGACAACGACTGTCCAATCCTAGCTTAAGCATATCTTAGGCCTGTGAAGTGTTGGATTTCTCCACAAACTCAGTATCTTTTTAGAGTTTTGAGGCTGATGTATTTTGTTATCACCTTTGTTAAAGCAAACGTGTATGGAATTGATGAAATTCTTTAACTGTTCTTATCAACTGAATGCTTTTTGCCTGAGACATGCAGCTTTAGCCTCAGTATTTTAGCACAATATCATGTATGTGGCCATCATGTACATATTTAAAAACCTTTTACAGGCTTCTCGTTTTAAAACAACTCAGCTGGAGATGGAGGTTTCCACTAAATTTAGCATTAGCACTAGCTTAAACTAGCCAGCTATGTGTACAGTGTTTGTATGTGTGTGACTGTGAAAACAAATTTCCTCCGAGGATAATAAAGAATGAATCTGAGCTACAGCGTATAAAATCTGATGACCAATACAGTCAGCCAGTTATGAAAAGCCTGATGTTGTTTATATCTGTGTGAAATTAAAGACTCATTCTTTAAGAAGTACACTAAGAATGCGGAGTAGTAAATCTGCTACTGTGGTCAGTGTAAACTGCATGTGTGCTGTGGTAGAACAGAAATTTTAACAAGCGAAGCAAAAGTAACAACGTGGAGTGGGGCTTTGTGAATTGTCAATTGAGAAAACAACAATTAATTGCCTCCTAAAGCATCTAACTGCCCGCTCCTCTTCTCACACACATATCCATTAACTTCTTTGTGTCCTTACCTGAGTGGGTCCTGAAGTGCATTTCTAGACTGGACTTCCCTTTAAATTCTTTCTTGCAAACCTCACACTGATGTACAGCGGTTTTATACCTGTGAACAAATTCCTCATTAACACAGAAACCAAGAACATTTGCCAAACTTTGAAGGGGCAGCTAAGGGAAATATTATGACTTTTATAAAATTTCCAAAAAATAGAATAAGTGTGTTTATGATAACATACTTCTGCCAAACTTTCTCTCCCAAATGAATGCTTTTATAGTGGACCGTCAGATGGTCATGCCGCCTGAAGCATTTGCCACATTCTTCACATTGGTGCGCTTTCTCACCTGTAATAAACATGGGCTTAGTCCAAGTAAATGCCGACTGGAGACAGCGAAAGGTTAACACTATTCCTACTGTAATGTCTTGGAACAATAACCCCACTGCTGTATGTCTTATACTGTACCTGAGTGTATTTTCTGATGTTTAGTCAGGTGATCATGGCGTATGAAGGTTTTCCCACATTCATCACATTCATAGCGCTTGTCGTCATGGTGGACTCTGAGGTGGAGCCTGTCCAAAGAAACAGTTTGCTCATTAACAACATTAATGACAGTCAATCAAACAGAGAGCTTGAAATGTTCACAATCAGCAACGCCAGACTAAAATCTCACCGGACCCACCTGTAGGAGCTGCCATGACGGAAGCTTTGACCACAGATACTGCAGAGATGAGGCTTCTCCCCACTGTGGATCCTCAAGTGCTCTTTCAAGGTTGTCCTTTAAGAAGAAAAACACGCCTCTCAATAAAGCATCACAGGGTTAAACATGGTTTTTTTTGGCAGTTCTGCATGACCAAATTAAGAGTTGTGAAAATAAAGAGATGTTTGGGGAAAGTTCAGGAGACGTACCTTTCCCTTACAGACTTCCCACAAATAAAGCAGGTCCACTTTCTTTTGCCTCCATGTGTGCACTCAATGTGCCTCTTTCTGTTGCCAGTGTCATTAAACTGCCGGCCACAAATCTCACAGGGAAATGGACCTGAAAATGAGAAAGGATAAAAACTCTTTCATCTAATGCATCGATTGCTACAACATCGTTCCTGACTACTGTCATGCATTAACACATATCACACTTACAGCACTGGCATGATTTCAAGGTTTTAATGACAACTGCAGTTCAATAAATGGGAGAACAGACACAAAAACACCCCAAATTTCTCATATATATCTTCTGTAAATTTTTCATTGTTTAAATTTTTCCATTAGCAAGAGTAAAGGTTTATTTTTAACCTTCAGAATTTATTTTCACTGTACATTTCTCACCTAAGTGGTACTTTTCTTGGTGCTTCAGCCTGGCAAACCTGGACTTGAAGTATTCGTCACAGAAGGAGCATTTAAAAGGCCGGTCTTGGGTGTGCAGGATCATGTGCTCCTGCAGATGAGGCCTGCGGGTGAATGTCTTCAGACAAATCTGGTTCAGAAGGTTCAAAGATTGGCTGTTAAAATCTAAATAAACTGCCTTTATATACACTGAGCATTTATTAATCAGGAAAATGCATTTATTCATCATCTTACCTCTACATATTTGAACATAGCAGGTATATTCATGTGATCATACTCTAACAAAAACTGTGGTCTGTACTTAAGATCATCTTACATCATCAGGTAGAACATAAACAACATACTAGATTGAAACTAATTCTTACAGCACATTTCCAGCCTTCACTCTTCCTCTTCCTCTTGGTAAGAAACTCTTGGATGTGGTCTGGATGAAACCTGGGAGGAGAGTGGGGACACATGACCTGATCATCATATAATGGGGCTGTAGCAACTGTTGGGAGTCTCAATCTGTCTATATTGTTTTTGTTTCTTATAGTGTGTATATATTGTGTTCTCTATATATTGTAGCCTGTGTCTGATTTTATAATTGTATTATTGTATGAGTAAGCACATGGTGAGCAATGTACAATCCTGAGTCAAATTCCTCATATGTGTACACATACCTGGGAAATAAAGCTGATTCTGATGCCATCATGGAGATTAAGCAGAGAGTTAACTCTACAAAATGAATGGGTTTTTTTCCTAAAATTTAATTACAACTCAGAAATAACAATACAGAAAGTATACTGCAAATCCTCACCTTTTTACCGATAGTCATCATTTCTGCATCCATAATACATTATGTATCCAATAATACACTTATTTTAAGGTATAAACTGTATGTTTCTGGCCATGCTAACTATGTGACTAGGGTTTTCAATACCGGCCGCTCGACCACTTTGGTCAATAATTAAATATCTCACATGTTTATGTCCCCTAAAGAATGGATTGCAGTAACTTCGGAGATTGCTTTTCCTTTAGCGCCATCATCAGATCAAAATGTTTTCCAATACTTTGGTATATGTCCAAATAGCTGCAAAATGCCAATCTTATTGACTTCAGCTGCACCTGCTAGTTAGCAAATGCATGCTAACAGACTAAGATGGTCAATGTGGTAAATATCATACCTGCTAAAAATCTGCATGTTAACACTGTCATAGTGAGCATGTTAGTATAATGACATCAGCATTTAGATTCTTGCGATTGTTTGTGTATGATTATGATTATCAGTGCATGATATTAATATCCACTATTAGAAAAAGACTACATTGTTCAAAGTGAAGTAACTAAATATCTGGATACTGTACAGTATATAGAGCAAAGCTACTTTGTAAAACTGTTGGCTGTTCAAAAAGGTAGCTATGTTAGCTAATACTAATAGATAAAGCTGTGTGCAAATCAGATGTTACAGCAATGATTGTCATCTAGCAATATATTACAATTAGCAAACCATGAATATAATGTTATATAAACACCAAATTTATAATATAATTTATAATTTAATATCTGAAATAGTGGAAACTGATTTACAAGTAAAAACAGGAATTATTAAGATGGCCCAGTTGTACATTTTTGCTGTAGGGACAACGTTTCATTTCATTGTGCAGTCTGGCATGGCTGACTTTGTGGACCAGAGGTAAACATAATAACCCATGTAAGATAAATTGGAGGAGACTGGAAGTTGTGATACTGCCAAATCTCACCTCCGGACATGCTTAGCCAGGGTTTTCTTGCTGGCATGGAGTTTGCTACAGAAGGGGCATTTGTGCTCCTTCTTCTGCAAGGGAGCGTCGCTGGCGTGCTTCTTCTTGTGTACGGTCAGGTTAGACTTGGTGGAGTAGCGCTGAAGACAGATGTCACACTGGAATGGTTTCTCTCCTGTGTGCACTCTGGTGTGACTCTCATACTTCCCTAAAAATGAACAAAAGGTAGATCAGACAGCATGCTGTCTCAATAACACAGTTTAGACATTACGGTAATTACTGTCAATAAACATGGCACTACTACAACTACTGAATTTTATATTGAGTATCCATCAGGTGGAAGGAAGCCTGCTGTTTCTAAATAGGATAAAACAGGAGGAGAGCCTCTACTCGACCAATACAAATACTACCATAGCTTTTAGAGAAACAGGTGACAATTAATTGTAATTTATCAAGCAAAAATGCCAAACATTTGTTTCTTACAGCTACTGAAATGTGAGAATTTACCGTTTATGATTTGCAGGTTTTTTTCTATTTAATATAATTGTAAATTGAACTGTTGGTCGCATAAAGAAATCAAGTTAAAGATATTATCTTGCATGTTTCACTATTTTCTGACCTTTTATAGAGAAAACGTTGAATCAGTTAGTTGAAAAAAGTAATCAACAGATTATGAATAAAAACAAGAGTTAGTTGCAGCCCTACACCCTCAACCATTATTTCAAAATGATTATTAAATTATTTTAGAAAGTAAAACTAGATACTTGAAGATACATAGATAAATAATAACAGATAGATATATAATTGATAATAGAGACGATTCTTGTGTGTTATGGAACATTGACTGAGTAATAATAGTTATACAACTACCTCTACAGTTGCCACCACTAGTAACACTGCTACTACAACAGACAACATTAATGATACACTAATAATCTAGACCTTCCTCCATGGTTCCCACCTGCTCGGTCAAAGGTCTTGTCACATTTGGGGCACTTGAGAGTCTTCCTGCTGGAGGTTTGGATGATGACCGGGGCCAGTCCCTCGGGGTACACTGGACTCTTGGTAGAGCTTCCTGCTGCTGGTACATGCGCTTCCACCTCTCCAACAGCCTGGTGCTCTGCCTGTTCTCCGTCTGAACCATGCTGACCTGCACTCTTGTCTGCAGCACAATCCTCAACAACTTTCCTCTGGGCAAGTAGTTCCTCATTCATGTCTCCATCCTCGTCCACTACATCTTCCTCCTGAGCTGGTTTAGATGTCTTGTTTGCTTCCAGTTTGGGCGCTTGGTTTTCCACTACCACCTTTCCTCCTTCTTCCCCTCTTTCTTCACCTTGCTCTCTTGGTGATACAGTCCTTTGTTTTTCTTCAGGAGTGTTGATAGTGTACTTCACATCATCTCTCTGATACTTGGTGGGTGTTCTCCTCCTGCGAGCTGATCTTCGTGTGGTAGCAGTCCACTGACCTTCCTTCTTCTCTTTCTCAGTTGTGGTTTCCCGCTGTACATCAGCGTGACTCTCAGCAAAGTGGTTCTGCAGGGAGTTTTCAGTGCTAAACTGGCGACTGCACATTGTGCACTGAACATCAAATGGGCTCTGGATGTCTGCGTCGCCTGCTGGTGAGTCACTGGAGGTAATTTCCACTTCAGGAGACCCTCTTATCTCATCCTGTGCCTGGATCACACACACTGGGTTGTTGCTCCCATCTTCACACAGCAGCTTCAGTATATCCATCATGTCCAGGAATCGGGCCGCTTCAGTAAGAGCTGGGAGGTCCACCTCTGCGACAACGCACTCAGAGGTGTACAAAAACCCAAGCAGGTGCTGGAAAACAGAGTCATCCACATGGTCCAGAGTCACATGTGCTGTGGCAGGGTTCTTGGACAGCTCAGCATGGAAGTAGCTGCTCCCATGGGCCAACACCACCTTGTGGGCACTGTAGAGCTTCCCACCAACAGACACAGACACATCACAGAACCTTTGCCGGGTCCGATCCTCGTTGAAGAACTTGAGGAGGTTGTGACTGTGCTGTGACATAGCCAGGTGCCTCATTCGTGAGGTTGATTCTGGGACAGTCTCATTGTTTGGTGGGGTGTTGGAGCCCAGCCCAGTGCTCGGATCTTCATTGCTGGCACTAACCTGCCTGCTGCGTTTGGGACGCAGAGGATTACAAGTTCTTTTCTTCATTGGCGTGTCTGTAGGGCTACCATGAATCACTCCTGTAAGCCAGAAGAAATAAAACAGTGCTGAGATTGAACATGCACTGGTGCCAGCTCTCCCAAGCAACGTGTGTTGATTCAGATTTGATAGGACAATGATATTCAAGAGGCTAGACCAGAGGTTTTCAAAGTATGAGGCGGGCCTCCCCAGGGGGGCTCCACACAGTTTCAAGGGAGGTTATTGCATTAGTTATCAAAAGGAGATCCCATAGAATAACCTACACGTGTGAGTTTTGGGGAACTGTTTTTCACACTTTATCAGTCACAAACATTAAATGCCTTAGGATAGACCTTTTTATGTAATTGGTGCAGTCTAAAGTTGTGTCTATCTTGGCTCAATTGTTGAGTATCTATGTGATCAAATAACATAATCATGACCATCCAGGAATTGAGTGAAACTAAGAAAGAAAACTAATGGGGGTGAAGGGCACCTTTACCCAATCTTTGGCTGAGGGGTGGCCCACAATCTCTTTGAAAACCCCTGGGCTACACAAATGGCACATAATGTACCTGACAGCCTGAAGCTGACATGAAGGAAACAGTATGGTGAAAAGTTATCATAAACGTGAAAACTGTGCATGAAAAGATGCACAATTAACGTTACGGCTTATTACGTTTTTGAGGTATATTTCCCCAGTTTATAAATGTGAAGCATAAACAACAACAAATTGTTGACTGCACTCAATACATACATAAAAAGGGCCTAACGGATATGTGAAATGAAGCTAGTAACTGTACTGATCCTGAGTTTAACTGTCAAGGCGGTTGCATTTGCAAAATCGCTCTCCACCTCAAGGACCCCTAACATTATGTCATGATGCAGGCGGGCGGGCCCCCCTCCAAGGAGAGTGTTGACAAACGACCCTTACTGCTAAGTTAGCCCGGAAGCTAACGTGTAAAACAAGACGATTTTAAAACGTCTTACCTTAGAGAAATGGACCGCGTTTACAAAGCACTGTACACTGAAGCTGACATCCGTAACGTTGAACATAATGGAGGATTAATAATTGCCTATCTGTGACGCCCCACCTTCCTAGCACAACGTAACAAACCGTTCGCCCATTGGCTGTTTCAGCTTTTGTCCTCAAAGGTTGTTGTTTAGAGGTGTAAACATAAGTAAACAATAAATAAATAGCGAGATAACGTTAAACAGCAACGTTGACACCTGTGTTTGTTCATCTTGTATGTAACGCATGAAAAATCAAACACAAATTAAACCCGGAGGAAGTGGTTGTCGGGCCGTCTTATAAGGTCCACGCGAGGTTTCACTAGAGAAAGGCATCATGGGTAATGTAGTCTGAAAGGTAAGGGGATGCTTCTATTAGCAGCTTTCAGTTTAATGTATATGTTTACAGTGGTGGAAGTAAACTAAATTCCTCTACTCAAGTGTTGTACTTCTGATTCTGCTTTTGCCACCTGCCTACTTGCCACCCCTCTTCTCCATCCTGTCCAGCTACATTTTGAGTGCACAGTGTCAGTGTGGTTACTTTGTGTGACTGTTTCAATTATTTTAAAGTAATGTAACTTATTACTTTTAAGTAATTTTTTGATTATTTTTCTACATTTCTAGACAGGCAATTTAACAGTCAGACAGGTGGTGCTGCAAATTTAAACATGAGAACCAATCAAGGCATCAGAACAGGATCAGACTTTACTAAAGCGCTGTTCCTGGAAATGGCAGAGGAAGACATTGTGCACGTGAAAAACACGCAAAGCAACAAAATGAATGTTAGTCAATATATAGCCTAGGTTTTTACAGAAAATATTCACATTTAACACCTAATGTAATCATGAACATTTTCAATTTAATTAGCCTACACATTTTTTCCTAGTATCTTCAATAGTTACATTTATTTTGTAATTAAATTAGTAACTTAAATTACATGTAACTAGTTACTCCCCAGCACTGAAAGCTCACGTATTCTGGCCTTAATAGGAACTGGGTGCCATTTTAGAACTTGAAATATGTGAACTGTTGTGTGAAAGAACTTTGTGAAAGAACAGTAAGGCCATTAGTACCTATTACTAATGAGCAGACTGAATGCTCTTAGGGCTATTCAGAGAAATTACTTGTGATGACGGCAGTGACGTTTTAATGACAGAAATACTTCCCAGATTAGAAGTTTAGGGGGGGCCTCGGTTGTCACAGTGTGCATCAGAGTTCTATCAAGGGAAGATGTTTGGACTCTCTCAAATTATCCTCCTGGATGAATCCCTCGCATGTGTAAGACATTGTAAGTGCATTAGCTTAATCCCTCCTGACTGCATGGCTCACCAAGCATTTCAGTGAACACATACATGCACAGTGGAGCCGAGCTGAAGATGGAGCTGCACACACAAGTATTTCCCACCTCCTAAAATTAAGACGTTGCCAAACATCTTGTAATTTTAAGGACTTGTTGAAGACAATGTTGAGATTCAGCTTGCATGTGTGGATGTTATGGTTTCTTTATGCAGGTAATGTTTGAATACAGCATGTGTGTTGTACTCAGATTATTACTCGATTATCAGCAAATGTTTATCATATGTGGTTTCAATTAGTTAATAATTAGCATTTCTTTCTGATCGTAATTTTACTTGATCATTGTCATATTATACTCTGTTGGGTGAGATGTCCTGTCCATCTGTGTATACAGTTGCTTGAAATTCTAGGTTTCTCTATTAATTTAAAATACTTTCCTCTTTTTTTTGGTGTCTCTTTATTATGTCGATTAATTTACTTCGACACACATATTTGTAACATACATTTTAGATTTAAGATTATCATGCAATGCATTCATGTTTTTTAAGAAATAATATTGGATTGTATTATTCTTCTCTCCAGGTACTTTATCCGACGACGACATCAATGTGTGTGAACAGCAGCCATGTCAAAATGGTGGTATATGTGAGAACCACAATGGAGGTTTCCGCTGCCTTTGCTCCCAACAAAGCCAAAATGGGCTCCTGTATGGGGGAGAGACCTGCTCAACTGCACTTTCTGGGTGTGATGACAACCAATGCGAGAATCGAGGAATATGCTCGCCCTTACTTGTCAATGATCAGCACACTTATAAATGCATCTGCCTTGCCGGCTTCACAGGCCCTAAATGCCAGACTCCTACCGTCTTCTCATTTGAGTCCCGAGGCCACATGTTCATAGAGACTCAGCTTTTAGACACAGAGGCTCCCCTTAATGTGACATTTAGCTTCAGGACAGCAAGACCTGTTGGCACCCTCTTGCAGCGCAGAGTCGACGACCTGGTCCTCAGCATTGAGCTGATGGACGGGCATCTCTGTCTACGCAGCCTGAGAGGTCAAGGCTCCAGCACGCTGGTTCAGGAGCTGCCAGATTACTTGTCCAACAACAAGTGGCACACGGTGGAAGCGTCGCTGGGCGGCGTGGTCAGCCTCATCCGGCTGCTCTGCACTGAAGGAAGCTGCACCAGAGACTCCGGCGCTGAAGTCCAGCTGCTTGAGCAACCTTCTGCTCTCCCCGAGCCAGGAACACTTCGTCAAAGCCTCTTCATAGGAGCAGCCGGGGTACTTTGGGGTGTTGGCAGAGCAGTGGATGAAGCAGACTACCCGGCTGCTTTTCTGGGATGCTTCAGAGATGTGTTTGTGGACTCACATCTGGTGTTGCCTGTTATAGTGCCAGAAGTTTCAGACGTGCACGCAAACATTACTCTGGGATGCAGTGACAAAGACAAGTGCGATGACAGCCCGTGTCAGAACCGAGGGCGCTGCGTGAGCCAGGGCTGGAGGAGCTACATGTGTGAGTGCCACAGGCCACATGAGGGAAACAACTGTGCAGAGGGTGAGACATACACACACACACACACACACACACACACACAGGGTGCAAAATTAACTTTGTTGTCCACCAGCCAATGGCTAGTGAATGCTCAAAGTGTGCCACCCATTCAATAGATTACCATTGTTCTTTGGCTGGTGAGTGAAATAAATCTACCATTCATTTGCATATTTTACCAGCATTTGGCTGGTGGCTGGTGCTAATTGTGCACCCTGCACACACACTAACACCACTGCATGCCATTTCAAATGTATTCAAACAAGATTACATGTCTCAAAATGAATCTAACCTGGAAAGTCCCTTCCCTAACCAGTTAACTTAAGCAAACTTAAATTACATCTCAAAATAAAAGCTTTAGGAGGCATCACCGCTTTTGGCACCTCTAAGGAATTGTTGGTTCTCTGTAAATAATATTACAAAGAGTACAGTCTAGACCTGATCTATAATACAGTACAATGAGATAACTTTTGTTATTAATTGACGCTATATACATAAAATTGAATTGAATTGGATTAAGAAGGTTTTTAGTTATTTAATTTATAGAATAGTGGGGCAATGACAAAACAAGGGTCACCTTAGATCATGAAACAGATTTATTAAATGGATGGAAATATGCTGCATTGTGCCCAGAGGCACTTTGATCAACCTCTGTGTTTGACTGGCATATTGCTTTTAGAGTCTCTCTTTACTGTAACATGTTTTAAATAAGGATTAGATTTGTGAGTGGAGATTCTTTTTTTTTTATTATCAATAACATTTAAATGACACCTTTCTAGACAGAATTACATGCTGTAAAAACAGGTTAAGTCAAGTTCAACTTCAGAAGCATCACTGCAGAAATCTCAAAGGTTAGCTATAAGGAGAGTCACCGGGCAGGATGACAAAGTTAGTCAGCAGACTTTAAAGGAGCTTAAAGTGCTAGTAGAAATAGCACAGAGTTATACAATTAGGAGACATTCAACAACACCTGGTCCAAGGATTACAAAAACGTGGGTTTCAGTGGCTCACCTGTAAGGCCTTCACTTTGACAGGTCAAGGAGTCTTATGGACGCACACCATGCAGAGGTGTTTTCATTGGTTGGTATTCTCAGCAGCTTCTGCTTGCAACAGTCTGTAACTTCACCTGTCTGTCATTGATAACTGCACAAAAAATTGCATGTTTTATTCACTTTAAGGAATAGTTGACATTTTAGTAAACACTCCTAATCACTTTCTGATAAGAAGACCAATACCACTCTCATATTTATGCTAAGCTAACAGCCAGTTAGCCTAGCATAAAGACTGGAGAGAGGGGTAAACTGAATACTTAAGATAATTCGTTAGCACGTTTTATCTCCTCTCACGTAGTGTAAAAACGTTAGATCATTTCTTGCCTTGGAGCAGTAACTTCCAGGCTTGTCAGCTTATTACCTGGCAACTGCTCAAAGCTCTAGCATATTTCCCAAAGTGTCATACTATTACTTTATTTTTAATAATTTACATCATCAGGTAAAAGTTTGACTTTCATGGCTTTTTCTCTCTCTTCCCTGTACCCGTGCAGAGTATATCACTGCAAGGTTTGGAAACAAAGATCTGGAAAGTTATGCTTTCTTCTCATTAGATGATGACCCACAGGATTCTGTGACTATATCCATGTTTATTCGCACCAGAAAGTCCAGCGGCCTGCTCCTCATACTGGCCAACAGCACAAGCCAGTACCTCCGCCTGTGGCTGGAAGAGGGCAGGGTCAAAGTTCAGGTCAACAACTTTGAGACCCTTGTTGGTCGGGGTGCAGTCAGTGACAGCCATTTCCATCTGGTGACTGTGAAGCTGGAAGGAATGGAAGCCATCTTGTTCCAGTCAGCCCAGAGCCAGGACTCTATGCACATTAGGCCCATCCAGGCCCATCCTGGGGATCTGGTTTTCGTTGGCGGGCTACCAGACTCAAGGGCCTCTGCCTCGTTTGGTGGCTACTTTAAGGGATGTGTCCAGGATCTGAGGATTAACAGCAAACGACTGCAATTCTATCCCATTGCAACTCCAGTGGAATCTTACAGCCTCAAGCAACTCATCAACGTTGCACAAGGATGCAGCAGTGACAATGCCTGTGCTGTGAGTCATATTAATGCTGCCATGTTCATTAAGCCAGTGACACATTTTCATTTCATATGTGCACTAATAAAGACTGAGGGCACTGTAGAAGGAGCTTTGTTTGATTTGTTGTTTTTTATTTTGATTTGTTTTCTCTTTATTAGGCCAACCCCTGTCTCAACGGGGGAGTGTGTTACTCCATGTGGGACGATTTCATCTGCAACTGCCCCCCCAACACTGCAGGGCAGCGCTGTGAGGAGGTGAAATGGTGTGAGCTATCTCCTTGCCCCGCAACTGCGGTTTGTCGACCCCACTCTCAGGGCTTTGAGTGTGAGTGTCCTGAGTTGAGGACCTGTTTCTGC